GCCAGGAGCACAGGTGCATGGCCAGGAGCACAGGTGCATGGCCAGGATCACAGGTGCATGGCCAGGAGCACAGGTGCATGGCCAGGAGCACAGGTGTATGGGCAGGAGCACAGGTGTGTAGTCAGGCCCACAGGTGCATGAACAGGAGCACAAGTTCATGGTCAGGAGCACAGGTGCATGGCCAGGAGCACAGGTGCATGAACAGGAGCACAAGTTCATGGTCAGGAGCACAGGTGCATGGCTAGGAGCACAGGTGCATGGCCAGGAGCACAGACACGTGGCCATGGGCAGTGTGTGATCATGGACAGAGAGTAGAGATGAGAAGTCTGGTCACCAGGTCTAGGGATGCTTCTCAAGGTGGGACATTCCCATGAGAAGGTGTTGTCTGCAGCACTGGTCCTGGAGTAGCCCTTGTGCCCCTGCCTGCTCAATGGCTCCATTTACAAAGTGGCTGCTGTGGCAGGTCGCTCAGGTTCTGTCTGATCTTCCTTTCATCAAACTGGTCTGGATACTGTTACTGCTGAGTACCTAGAAAGCCAACACTAAAACTGTGTTAGGTCATGCCTTGGGGGAGGAGAGGATGAGGGCTGTCACAAACCCATGTGACCTCGCAGATAGATAAAGGGACAAAGCAGAGCTTGCAGATGCAGTAAGTGACAAATGAAAAAACTATCTGGGACTGTTACTGGCAGCTGAATGGACAACAGGTGACCAAAAGAAAGGTCTAGACTTGTCTGCAATCTCAACTATGCGAGAGGTCAGGGTGGAATTCAGAAGCCTAGGCTGGGTGCTCTACAATACTTACTAGCATTCAGGAGTCTCCTATGCCTAAATAAGAAAGAAAGAAAGAAAGAGAGAGAGAGAAAGAAAGAAAGAAAGAAAGAAAGAAAAAGAAAAGAAAAGAAAAGAAAAGGAGACCAAGCAAGTGTATAGATCTGAGGGTAGTGGTCCAAGACAACAATGTCCACCCTCATGAGGCTGAGGCAGGTGGATCACAAATTTGAAGCCAATCTGGGTTATGAAGTAGGTTCTGGGCTAACTGAGGTACATAGCAAGACCACTTCCAATTTGTAATGATGACAGTGATGACGATGTGTTACCTTAGGAGCCATAGAGGCTGGCATGAAAAGTTAGAACTATTCTACTGGTCCCCTTTCCCTCTCCCTCTATTCCTCACTCCCTTCTTTACTCTTTGCCTATCGAGCCCCAACAATAAACGCTAATACTCGCGACACCGTATCTAGATATGAGGGCAAGCACTTTAGCACGGTCAAATAGAAGTTTCCTACACAACAGAGGGTATCTCAGCACATCCTATCCTTTCTTTCCAGATTGTGGTAATGACGTCTGGACTCATTTCATAAGCCGCTATCGGGAAAACAACCTACGGTTTCAAAAACATCATGAATAAAAATGCCAACCGGGATTCCAGATGTTAAGAGTGAGAGGCTGAGGCTGAGGTGGCATTTGAAAGCGATATTGTCACACACGCTGCACAATGGATGAGCCCTGGGGGACCTTATGCTGTCAGCAATGGTGGCAGGGAGACACAGGCCAGCACTGCTGCCAACAGCCTGAAGAGCTTCCTTTCCCCTCAGAGACCTCTGCTCAGGTAAAGCCATATGCTTGACAATGGCACTGAAAAGAATTTCAAGATGAGCCAGACTAAAGGCGAAGTCAATAAGTTTATTAAGTATTTAGACAGAATCATAGGAAAAAGGCAGCATACCCTCAAGTCATGGGTGTACGCTTCTCAAGAGAGTTCTCTTAGTGGCCTGGAACTCACTCTGTAGACCAGAAGGACCTTGAGTACCAGCATGTGTTCCCCCATGCCTGACAACACTTAGATGGCTTCGCCGTGTCTGTGTACATGATCCTGCGACTTTAAGTTACATTCTTCAAAGGAAACAATTTATTACGAGGTTTAGAGATTAATAGAGCTTGAAACTAAGTAAAAAACCTTTTTCAAGCTGGGTTCCTTAAAGGCTGGCGCTTTGCGTCAGTGATACCGTAAGGGGCCATCTGACATGCACTGTTCCAATTACGGGATGTGAGAGGGGTGTCTCTATGGTAGGACTCACCCTTGTTAGTTTTTTTTTTTTTTTAATCCTTGGCAGAGGTGCCTTCACAATTAGCTCTCTGGCTATCACGGCTCTATCATGTAAGCAAGAGTTCTTGCAAAGAAGCTGTGTCTCCCAAGACTGATTGACTGAGTGAACGCTCGGTGATGAGGAAAGGCAGGAAGGCTTCGGAGCCAGAGCCAATCACCACAGGCTACCTTATGCCTCCCGATAACCATCTATTGCACCTGACCTAACAGCTTCTGTGACCACTGGTTAAGTTCTTATGAACATATGAACAGACCCCTAGTTTCTACCAATCAAATCATCAAGAATGCCGTCAGACGGTATCTATGGCCTATGGTAGAACGTCCTACTCTGCTGCAGCCCAGCTACCTGATCTCCTCACATGTGTATTTGAAAAAGTATTATTTTATGAGATTCTTTGTTCTGTTGTTATAAAAAAAAATCCATAGGGTTACTACTTTACTGGAACATGGAATCTGGGGAGGGCTACATCTGTGTTCTCCCTCACTTCTGTTAGGTTCAGAATAATTACTTCCTTTAGTCCTCTGTGGAGAGGGCCGGTGCCTTCACAGACAATCAGTTGTGTGGAGGTACTTTGACTTTTATTCATCAAGATAGGCAAATTATGTCCCAGGAAGGTGGGGGGGTTCTTCCCTTCACACATCCCCTTAGCTTCTCCCCCACCCCCCGGCCCCCCATCCAGTCAGATCTAAGTGACTCAGTCACAAACTGTGACCCGTCTTCTGCCAGGTACCTAGAACACTCAAATTCAGAGACAGAAAGTAGAATGATGACTGCCACGGGCTGGGGGCTGTGGACAGAAATGCAGATGCATCGTTTAAGAGATGTGGAGTTTCAGCTTTGCGAGATGAACATTTGGGGTGGGTGAGCTGGTTGGTTGCAGGAAACAGGAAAGTGGTCAGTATTACTGGGCCACACTCTTGAAAATGGCACATGGGAAGTGCCGAGTTAGGTGTAATTGACAACAACAACAACGGTAAAGTGACTTAAGGACAGCCTGGTCTCTATATAGTGAGTTCCAGCTAACCAGTGTTACATAGTGGGCACCTACTTCAAAGACAAAGTAGAATTAGAGGTGGAGTCGATATCTCAGCTGGTAGTGCTTGGTTATCATGCAGCTTTGGACCAGTTTCAGCCCTACATGCACTGGGTGTGAAAGCTAACACTTAGGATTTCTCACTTGGGAGGTGGAGGCAGGAGAATGAAGGGTTATCTCTCTCGGATACATAGTGAGTTCAAAGTCAGACTGGAATTTAAGAGATCCTGTCTTAAAAACAAAGCAAGCGAGCAAACAAACAACAACAACGAAAAGAATAAAAGTAATAAAAATATCGACTGAAAAGCTTTGAGCTTTATTAAAGATACTCAGCAAATTTAGAAAGCCCAAAGAGTTCGAAGTATGACAAATGTAGAGACAGTGTGGCAAAACACTGAGCAGAGACTGAGGGAAACACATGTTTCCTTCAAAAGCACAAAGTGGCGTATAATTGAGCAGTGGGTGACTATGATGAACTGAAGTCCTTAAACTTCAAGAGAGCAGAAGAAAAATGTCATAAAAGCTAGACTTTCATAAAACCAGTACACATGTTAACAAACTAAAATTAGCGTGAAGCAGCAGTCGCAGAACACGCAAGGAACGAACAGATCGAGAGAAAAACAATCATGAAGAGCGAGAAATGAGAGGCAAAAAGAAACAGTACATTCAATGGGGAAAACAATATAAGGTGGCAGAAATAAATCCAGGTACACCAGGAGATATAATAAGTATAAATGGACTAGCTGCACAAGCTAAAAGACAGAGACTACCCCTTGAAAACTTTTATTATGAAAATAAGTTCAGGTGTATAGAACATGGGAAATGCATAAACAACATGGATATTTCTGCCCTATAGAGTCATGTTTACCTCATATACGAATGTTTGATGAGGAGGCTATTAAGGTCTATTTTACATAATATATGCTACACAACGAAATACTAGTCACATGCTAATAAGAGCATACAGGGCTTATTTGGGGCATGAGACAGAGCTAGGCTCCCAGTCACTTTTAATCTTGTGATTTATGTGTGTAACTAATTTATTCTCTCAATGAGGTCCTAGCAAGGTGTGAAGCGGGTCGTTTTCTGGTTATTGTATTTCTAAATATTTCTTGCATAAACAAATAATGCTATCAGCAAATGGTTCAGTGCAACGCTTTGCGGTTTGATAAACACTGAATGGAGAATAGCTTTTATTTATGACAGTTACTGAACGCATTCAGCAGAGTGGCACGAAATAAGCAAACAATAATTGCCAGTTTATTATATTTATAATTGTTATTTATGAACTGTCACAAGGCTTGGCACATATCACTAACCCGTAAACATTGTGTTTGTAAGAATAATAAGTACTTTATTATATTCAGGCTCAGTAGAGCCTGGCACCACACGTGCGGGAAGAAAGTGGAAGTTTATTCTTGTTAATTATTATTATTAAGTAAAGCACTTAACAACAGTTCTCCCTGCAGGCGCCTACAGAACAGTCTCACTGGAGACCGCCCCTCCTCCCAAGCCTCGAGAGACCACGCCCCCTGCCGCGGAAGCTCCGCCCTCTGCCGACTCGGCTAGCCCGTGCCTGCGCAGTGGCCCAGAAAACCGTGCGCATGCGCAATGTCCCCTTTGCCGCTGAAGCCTCTGGCCGCTGCCGGAGCCCGGCAGCTGCTCCGCGCGTGCGCACGTGCGTACGTGCGTCGGGGCGTGCGTGCGTACGTACGTGCGTGCCGTGAGCTCGCCCGGCACCGCGGCCTCGCCCTCCGCCCCTGTGCCCCACCGCCCAGGCCGCCGCCCCCCGCCCGCTCCGCCACCCCCGACGGGGAGGACCATGGCGAAGGTGGAGCAGGTCCTGAGCCTCGAGCCACAGCACGAGCTCAAGTTCCGAGGTAAGCGGCCGGCCGGTCAGGAGCTGTCACTCAGCGGCCGGCGCCGGAAGGGACGCGCCCTGAGGGCAGGACACTGTCCGCCTGAGGCCCGCATGCACCAGGCGCCTAATGCATGCATGTGGAGTCAGTGCATGGAATCAGCCTGACTACTCTTCTCGTCAACTTCCCCGGGGCAGCGAGCTGTCGGGGCTACAGTCCAGGAAGCCTGTGCACACACACTTTCTGTGCAGTACACTTTCTGTATACATTTGTGTGGACAGGTGCACTTTACAGGTGATCAGAAAGGTTCATTTATGCACATATGTATGCACACTATATGCATGTTATAGATAGTGTGTATACGTAAACATACGTACATGTATACGTATATACACACAAGTGTGTATGTGTATATATGTATGATATATGTTTCCATTCACTAATTTTAAGGGCCAGGAGGTAACAGGGTCTATGCCCAACCTGTTCCTTGCTTCGTTGCATGTTTTGAGTCATTTAACTGGACACTGGAGGCCTATAAAACTCAACAACCAGTGAGCAAGATGGCAGCAGGCGGTGGTAAGCACTAGGAAGGAGAAGATGAAGCTGAACTCTATGGAGGTGTACTTTAGGTTGGCTGATATGGTCCTCTGTGTATTGTCTACGTGTACCCCACAGCAGGTGCTCACGATTTTGGGTGGCTGAGAGTCACCTGTTTCTCTGCCGTTGGGACGTAGTGTAGGATCACAGTTCTTACCTGGTTGTCACGTTTGAGTTCTGATTTCAGACATTCAGACACTTAACCGCTGTACCCACAGATTCTCAGAAGATGCGTCAGAGCTGTGGCTGTTCACCTTGCCTTCCAGGTTCCGAGTGTGCAGTGACTCTTACAAGGAAGCAAAGGCCGTCTGGTTAACCCGAGAACAAAAACCTCAGGCAGCCTACCACGGGGCTATAGAGCTGCTTCACCAGATTAAGGCGCTTGCTGCCAAGGCTGAGGACTTTAGTTCAGTCCCTGAGACCCACATGGTCCAAAGAGAGAACCGACTTCTGCATGTTGTCCTCTGACCCCGACAGGTGCAGCTTGGCACACTTGGGAACAAACACACAGACACATGCACAGAAGTTTTTATGTAAAAGTATTGTCATCACCAGAGGTTCCCACACTTACTGGGATCCCACTTGGTAGTGGTGAGAAAGTGGTGTTCGTTTCGAAGCGACTATTTTGGAATTTTGAATTCTAGTCCTTTTCCAGGTTACCGTGTCGGGTGATGGTGTGCAGGGCGGCACAGCAGTGAACCGCCATCCGGTTCCAACTGTAGCTCTGGATATTTCCTGTGTTTGTACCCTGTCGTGTCTACAGAGTGTCCATCTCACATGTGCGAAAACTCTTTGGCGTGTGTTTTTATTTATTTTGCGTTAATGTATTGTGTATGGGGGGGGTATGTGTACCACAGTGAGTGTGTGGCGGTCAGAAGACAACTTGCAGGAGTCATTTCTGCCCTTCCATCATGGGGGTGCCAGGGATTGATCTTAGATCTCCCGTCTTACACAACAGTGCCTTTGCCTCCTGAGCTGTCACACTGGCCTTCTCTTTTTGAGATACCTAGTTCTCACATTCTGAGGTCAGCTCAGGCTGACCTCAGTCTTGAGACTATCTTCCCGTCTTTTCGTCCCCAGTGCTGGTATTACTGGTTCAACACATTAGAATAGCGTATTGTTATTGAATGGGCTTTGTGCTATAGGGTTCTGTGCGCCTGCAGGCTGATGTAAGCCTGGAGCATGTTGAGGTCCGCTGTGATGTTCAGAAAGGCCAAGGAGATTGAATGTACTTTTACATAAACATAGTTTCAACTTAGGAAGGGGTTGTCAGGATGTAACTTTATTGAGGGACAGCTTTGACTTTCTGTGATATTCTCAGTGGCTTCTCTGGAGGAGGAGACTGGGAAAGGAAGACTGTAGCCAAAGTGACTTTACTGGGGTTGCCTTGAAGCTCTTCTCTGTGACGTGACACATTTATCCCATTGGTCCCCCTCCGTGTGTCAGAACCCAGGAAAATCCAAATCCAGTTGGTTGCTCTTGCCTGCTGTTCTCAGACACCCACTTGTCCTTTGCATCCAGGGGAAAAGGGAGCAGATGAGGTGACCTGGACTAGAGAGTGTGGGAAAGAACTTCCCAGAGCGTGGGAGGTCAGATCGTGGCAGAGTGTCACTGAATCTGCTTACATAGGTCCAATGGCAGCAAGGGAGAAGTGGGTAGGAGTGTTCAGGCATGGCCTGTAGTGTGCATAGAGGTCCAAAAGCTGGCGTACTTGCTTCTTGCGGATGCTGTGGGTAGGAGGTGCGGGCAGAGTAGAGGACCAGACTGGCTAGTACATGAGAGTCAGGTCTACACACACTAGGCGTGATGACTTGACTGACCTTCCTCAGGTTGATGCCCTGAAGCCCCCTCACACTACTGTCTCTGAAGGAGGAGACACTGGGGCTCCAGCTCTTCCAGGTCAGCGTGTGTGACCTTGCCTGCCGTTTGCTCTCTTACCTTTGGGTTGGTGGTAGTGCTAAGAAGGTGACACTTCTCCAGCCAACATCACTGGTTGCCAAAGAGATAGTCCAGAGGTTTGGTACCCAAATGTCCTCACTCTGGAAGAGTCATCCAAGGGTGTGTGGAAACTTGATGGAGATCCTGTGAGTGCCAGCCATGTGTTAGCGTAGCCCCTTGCCTGGCAGATGAAGTCTCACTAAGCCTTCCAGGTTGGTGTGGAGTGAGTGGTTTTCCTGCCATAGCTCCCTGGTGCTGGGATTAAATGTGGCACCACCAAGCCCAGCTGGAGTGTTCAGTTTCTTGGTTTGTTTGCTTTAAGCTGAGTGCTGAGACAGTACAATGAGAGGCCCAGGAAATTGGCTGATTGTGTTAAGGGTGTTCATTTCAGGGTTCCTTCAGGTTTAACTGGTCTCTTTCATGATTTCGAGACTAATGACTCTGGTTTCTGAGGTTCATCTAATTGAATTACTCTTATGAGCTAATCAAAGTACTCATCATCCAGGGAATCATGGGTCTTTTACTGCAGTTGAAGATGATGCTATGGGATTTTGTATTTGTCATAATCTTGGGAATTTTGTGTGGTGTGTTAAGTTTGAACGTGTTATAATCTGGACGTGGTGGTGACATACGCCTGTGAAGTAAGTACCAGGAGATCGTGAATTCAAGATCAGATTGCACTACATCTCAAGGTAACATAAAAATAAAATAAAACCAAACACAAAAATGGCTGAAGTGTGATATAGGTCACTGGTAGCGGGCTCTTGGTTTGATCCCTAGCAACACACACATCCCGCATGTGCACACATATGTACACGTACACGTTTGTACACACAGCTGCATATCCACACACAAGTACACACATGCAGTACACATACATACACATGCATGTACACACATATGTACACACGCACGCATACACACAGTTACAGAAGAAAACATTCCACGGGTTCCTATGCTTTGTTCAGTTTTGTGGTCCATGCTACATTGCACTGCAGTAAACACCCAGAGGAGAAAGGCCAATGGAAAGACACAGAGTGTGGGAGTTTCCTGGACTCCTGATCTTCATGAGCTATCTTTATGGAGTCAGAATAGAAATTCCTTCAGAGGAGGGCACTTTCTGAGAGAGTAAGTTTGTGGAAGGAGTGTTCCCTTCTCTTTTCTTTGTCTACGCCCTGTGGGGTGTGACTGCTTCTTACATCCTCCTGGGAGCTCTGATTTGTGTCTGCCTCTGACCTCAAAGGTTTGTCTTTCCTTTCTCTCCTGTCAGATCTCCTCTGTGGTGTGTGGTGTCTTGTATATTTTGGGACATTGTCCAGGAATCAACACCCCCACCCCAATTTCTCGTGAAGTCATAGCTGGAAATGATAGCTAAGCACCTCACTGGGTTGAGGTACAAACCTGTTGTGGGCTTGAGGCCTCCTCACCTTGTTCTGGCAAAAGCTGGTTCAAAGCCAGTGGCACTTGGGAAGTCAGAAACAGCATAAGTACCTGGGTAGGGGTACTCACTTGAGCACTTCAAGTTTGTGGGTAGACACTGTCTTTTGTATGGAGAGAAGAGGCTTAGACTAGGTTCAGGTTGTCGGGTTGGTGTGCTACAAGCTTGGTGGGAAGAAACTAGGAGCAGTCTCTCTACCAGAGGCTCTAGTCCTCATCGGCAGTAATTACCTTTCCGCTGCTTGCTCAGTGGGTCAGAGCTCTGGTTTCCGTAACATTTCAGGATCCTGTTGGCAGACTGTGCTTTACAGCACAACAAAATGTCAGCAGCGTGCTTAAGGTTCTTTATGGCCATGGTTTAAATCCATCCTGGATAGATCATCTTCATGTATTTAATTATTAACCAGCTTGCTCATCAAAAAAGCAAGTGGCATTAAGTTTACTGGGCTCGAGACAAACTTAAATCTTCATTGACAGTACTATTTACTTCTGAAACCTTATCCCTAGGAGAAAAATGAACTAGAAGGTAACTTTCTCTTCTTATCTTCTTCCTTTTCTTAAAAACGTTTATGCAGCCCTTGGCCTTGTACTTGGAAGTCAGGCTGGTTTTCTGTGAGGGCTTGTGTCAGGCAGCCAGGCAATACTTTGGTAACTTTTCATCCCTGTGTTGACTTATCGAAGTAATTAGTCCGACTCTTATGTGGCATTAACACCATCTTTTATTATTATGCTTTCCCCCACAGAGATGTATTTTGTGCTTGCAGTCTTAGGCTAAGTAGTTGGAAATGAGGGGTGTAACAAGGGAATAAGTTCCAGAGAATGTTAGAACTAGAAACTTCAGTTTTAAGATGAAGAACTTCCTCCCAGACTGTTCCATCTGTCTCTTCATTTGGGAAAACTTTGCCATCTGAGGCTGACCTGGCCTTGAAGGAGCACTGCTGTCTGCGAGATGACAGAAGATGAACACAGACGAGCCTTCCATTAGTCAGGATGAGCTTGCCGTGGAGTCTTTCATAAAATAAGAGCCTTGAATTGTACTAAAACAAGGG